CAAAAAAGAGAATAAGTGCAAAGACAAAAAATGTTTTTGAAAATGTAAACATGTTTTCTATTAAAAAAAATGTATCATCAAAATAAAAACCGTCTGTTGTCTTTCTTTAGAAACCAACTTCCACTTTTCACACCTGGAGCTGAAAAACTGTTTGCAGCTTCAGTTTTTATGTTGCAAGTTTTTACTGAGTCCAAGTTCCACCATGTTTACCAGAGCTGTTGCTGTAACCAGATCAGCCACTTATCAAATCATCAAGGACTGGAGTTTCAGAGTTCCCAAGAAAGTCCGGAGAGTTCTTGCTCAAGGATAACAAGCAGGCAGGTGTGAGTCAAGAAGGACGGCTAAGAGGCCACTTGTCTCCAAAAACATAAAAAAAAAAAAACATTGAGGACGGATTGAGAGAAAGAAGCGTCAATACTGGAATAAAGCTTTGCTTTTCAGATCCGTTTTAGCAGCAGGGCAATTTAAATGAACATACAACAAACAAGCACATTGTCAAATTGATAATCCATTTATTATTAATCGAACCCAACTCTAATGTGTTTATAGCTTTGATTTAAAGGAAGTCAGTGTTTCTGCTGTTTTGCGGTTTTCTGGAAGTTTGTTACAGATTCATGTTCCAGAATAGACGCTGAATGCTGCTTCTCCATGTTTGGTTCTGGTTCGGGGGATGTAGAGCAGACCAGAACCAGGAGACCTGAGCGGTCTGCAAGGTTGATGCAACCGAATGTTATTGTCGACACGTTACAGTCCATACATTTGAAAAAAGATAAACGTGGATGAATTTCTCAAAATCTTGTTGGGGACATTCATCCTTTAATGTTCCTCAGGTGATAAAAGGCCGACTTTGTAACTGTCTGTATGTGTCTCTGAATGTTGAAGTCAGAGTTCATCACTACACTCAGATTTCAGGCTTGATTGCTAATTTCTAGCTGTAATAACTGAAGCTGTGTGTTGATTCCACATCATTCCTCTTTTGGTTCAAAAGAAATTACTTCAGTTTTGTTTCTGTTCAGCTGGAAAAAAGTTACGGCTCCTGTTTTGATTTGTTCCAAGCTTATTTGTTTTCAGAGTCACCTGGTGACATAAAGTTGCGAATCATCTGCATAGTTATGAAAGCTAATGTTTTATCTGAGCAAACGGGAACATGTAGATATTAAACAAGAGGGGGCCCAGGACTGACCCTGGGGTACCCCACATGTTATTATAATGTCTGCTCAGACGAAAAGTTGCCCATTGACACAAATAAATCCCAGTTCTTTAGGTAAAACTCAAACTAGTCCAGTGCTGGACCAGAGTCCAATTCAATGCTAATGCTAAGGCTAGACGCTTGTAGCTGTAATGCATAAAGAATTAGAAAAATTTCAAGGGCTATAAATATTCTTGTAAGTCAATGAGTGAATTTTATAAACACGGTTAAGAAACTCGAGATCTTAATCCGATGGGGACCCTGAGGTCTGTCGTCAAAACAAAAATAAAAACCTGAAAACCTGCCATCATTAACCAACCAAACGGGTTAACATCAGTCAGGATCGGATCCAGAAGTCCAGTAAATCGCTGAGAGTCGGTATAAACTTGACTTGATCCTCGATAAAATCCTGAAATTTGTATTATAAAACTGCAGCAAACTATAAAATAAGCGACATTTGAGAAACCATGACTGTATTTACATGCCGTTTGATTAAAAATGTAATTTCATATTACGTTGATATAAACAATTATGGATCATATTGAAGTAGCTCTGTCCAAAAAACAAATGTATATAAATCTAAACGTACTCATGTTTATCTCAGAAACTAACGGAAGTAGCTGAAGCAACAGCGCCCTCTGGTGGCAGATCTTGAAGTCTGCAGCTTCACAAATGAGTGAAACCAAGTGGGTTAAACATTTTATTGAATTGATTTCTGCGTCTCTACCTTTATCTCTGGCTGACTTTACAAAGTGTAAAGAAAAGAAGAAGCAAAAAAAATAACAAAGGAGGGAAAAGAAGAAGAAGAAGAAAAAGAAAATATTCACATGATTAAAAACCTTAAACATTAATTGGCTTCTGCACAACCCATTGTCCCCCTATGCCAACTTTTAATGCTGTAACAAATGGGGGGAAAGTTAAAAACATACAGAAACTAACTGCTACCAACAATAACAGAAGAATAAGAACAAGCAGAAAGTTCTGTCATAGTTAGAGGAGATAGAAGCCAGGTAATAAACACCACAGAGGCAGCGATCGTAAACTGGAGAAAAAGAAGCTGCTGCAGCCTCTCAGCTGGGAATTATCAGATATTAAACAAAAACAAGCCTTGTCGCATATATGACTAAAATAATTACTGATATTACTTAATACAAATCATGCATAATTAAAGAAGTTGAACTTTTGCTTCCAGGTTAAATTGTACATGTAAGAACAAAACAAAAAACAAAAAGTTCTGGTTGCATCCTAACTATAATAATCCAAAAAACAAAGGCCCTGATATGCACCAACTGCACTGATATCATCTAGCACCATTATTTGCAAAAACAAAAACAAGATATAAAACATTTGTGGGGAGGGAAAAAAGGAGAGTGCTTTAACGGTTTTTTTTGTTTTTGTTTTTTAACAATTCTACCGTGAAAAAATGAGTTCAAGATGCAGGGTGGGTGTTATTTCTGAGCACAGAATCAACAAGAACAAAATGTTAAAAGACAGGAGATGATAGGTTTAAGTATTGCTACAAAGCAACATCGTGCTCTAGTGTTTTGGATATTGGCAGATAAAAAAGAAAAAAGAAGTACAACTAGCACTGATACGCATGGCTGAACAACTAAACATGAATACTCTAAAGAAAAACAAAACAGGAAGTTTAATTTTAGATCAGCTCTTTTTTTTTCTCAGAGGAAATTAATAATCAAAGACATGGCATGTTGGGTTTCCAGTCTTGTGCAAAATAAATATCCGATTACATCTGCACGCAGCTGTTTTCCTGCTTCTGAGAGGTAACTCGTTTTGAGATGAGAACCGACGCAGATTTTGAGGGTAAAACAAATAAAAAGCGCATTGAGGCAGGTGGCTGGGAATCGTAGCTGACATGATCAAGTATTCGCCTCCTTTATCTTCCCAATAAAAAAATAAAATAAAAATCACATTACAGGTCTGCTTTGCGAAGCTTATGTACACAGAAGATGCTGCGTCAGGCCCAAGCGCTTTTTAAATGCCATGCAAATATTAGTGTTCCTTTGGTTATGTTAAAAAAAATCCACATGCATCTTGTCCTTTACAAAAATGAAAGTATAGAAAAATCACTGTTAAAAATCTGAGAATGCTTCTTCCAATGTAAAAAAACATCACTTGTCATTAGTAATATAAGTATTAATATCTGATTTATCATCTCAAGCTAAATTGTATATTAAAACTATAGTCAAATATATTCTTTTCTGGTACCTCTCACACCATGATTTAATTGCTTTCATGTTAGTATTTAAAAATTAAAGTGTGAGAGGAGACTCTTACAAGCTCCCGCTCCGTACAAACAATAAAAGAAAGCAGTTTTGCAGCATCTTGTCGAAAATAGGCATCCTTCTAGAAACTTTTCCACGTTTTGAGACGCTACAACCACAAACTTAAATGTTTTATTGGGATTTTATGTGGAAAAGTAGAATAAAGTGGTGTAAAAACCTTTGCCCTGCGACAGACTGGCGACCTGTCCAGGGTGACCCCGCCTCTTGCCTGAAACGTTAGCTGGAGAGGCACCAGCACCGCCGACCCCACTAAGGACAAGGGAGTACAGAAAATGGATGGATGGATGTAAAAATGTGATCAGGTAAAGAAAATAAATCTGAAATGTGTGGCATGCATCTATATTAGGCCATGTTTAATAATTTACACCTTAAAATCCTGTAAGATTTTCCTCAAAAGTGAATTCATTTGTAAATGAAACAGAAAAAGTTTGCGGGGGTTTTGCATATTTTTTGGGACATACACACTAAAACGGGAAAACCAGAGTTTTAAAATTTATCCAAAAAAATTATAATTTCTGGATTTTTAAAAACAGAAGCCGACAAAAACAAATTTGCAGATATACCAAATGCTAAGTGTCTCCGTCTCCAGATGCAAGAAGTTGGTAGAAATAAAAATGTTCCACCTTTCACTTCTTCCACATAAAATCCCAATAGAACACGTTGCAGTTTGTTTTTGTAACAAAACGCGAGACGTTTAGTGAGGATGAATACTTTTCCAAGGAACCATACCAGGAGAACGCTCAACAACAAAACCTTTGATTTCCTTCAAGGTTTTGTTTCCGTCTCCTGATAAGTCTGCATAGCATGCCGTCAAGTACAGGTGCAATGTGTTCATTTAATTGTCTATTTTAAAGGATTATATATTCTTTTTTTTATTATTATTTGTTGAAACGATATAAACTAATTTTTACAGTTTGGGGTCCCTGTGTGGCAGGAAACCTAAGTGCTTTAAAAATGCACAGACTCAAGGAGGAAAACCCAAAAACAACATCGATAAGAGAGCGGAGGCATTCTGGTGGCGTGTAATACTTTGAAATGCCCACACACGTTCGATTTCTTCATTTTGTTAGTTCAAACGCACCTCAGGGATTTAGGAGAAAACAAAAACACACTCCAGCTGGTTTCTATCATAGCACACTTGTCAAAAAAATGCCAAACAGAAGGAAAACAACTCCAATTGAGTTAAATTTACAGGGTTGATGTAAAGCCACCAAAAGGTCGTCCAGTCCGTTAGTCTTCCTGATCTCAACTCTGTTTCTCTCCCTCTCTCTCGGGTCTGTGCAGCTTGATCGCCCACACGTCTTTCAGTCAATCGCACAGCAACGCGTCGAACGAGCGCTGGTGCAAAACTGGCCAAAAAACAACAAGAATAAAGTGTTCAGAACCAGCGCCAGCTTGATCTGGACGTACCATCTCTACAGCTGCTGCGGCGTAACATGACATGAAAAGCAACCTCTGATGATTTGTCTTTACACTCCAAAAAATATCTTTTTTTTTCTTTTCTTTTCTTTTTTTTACACAAATAATAATAATAATAAAGTCATCAGTTCCGGTTCATAAGAAAGCAGCCAAATTGTTGCCAAGTGTTATTAAGAAAAATTATTTAGAGAAAAATAAAAAAAGCAGTGCATAGTTGCCTCCCTGTAACCGCACGTCTTGGCACGCGACGTGAGGTCAGACGTTGGATTTGCTGTTTTCACCCAGCAGGGGGCGGTGCACCAGTTGATCTGCAGTTTTAGTGAGGTTAAGTTGACTGGAGGTGAGATCCTGCAAGACAATCGAAACAAGAGTGAGTCACAACCGCTCACTGGATCATAAATATGTGGACGCTCTTGATCAATGTGCGAGAGAAATTTACATGAATAAAATGGCTGCTGTCGGGACCGACCCGCATGAAACGTAGAAGGAAAATATGTCAGACGACGTGGACAAGCTGCTACTTTGAACAACATGGAGGAACTGCGCCACAGTTTCCACGTCGTCGTTTTTTATTTTTATGCAGTTATGAGGCACAGTGGCAAAACCCTAAACTGCTGCTGCGCAAGTTACTCAATTTGTTGTTGCTAAGTAACCAAAGAATGAGTGAGTTGCTAGGTAACCAAAGAATGAGTGAGTTAGTTGATTCCAGCCAAGAGGAAGTTGAACAGCTAAAGTCCTTCCTCTGCCTACACCCCCCAGAATGCTGTTCAGAGTTCAGTGAAGTTATTGAATCTGTTGATATTGATCACTTCTCTATTGTGATAGATGTTATTGATTTATTGTCCTGCCATAGGTTGTGATATCAGGGCAAAATATTAAAAGATTCGAGGCGTTTGAACATTTTTGTAAGGCATTACGTTACTAGTGATTTCAGCTAGTATAAATGCCTTTTTCCAAGGCGGATGGGTTGTGAAAAATCTGGTTTTAACTCAAAGTTTAGCTGCTTTTTTCCAGTTTGTGGTGACTCTGCAGCTTTTTACTCTTTAAGCGGTTTAAATAAGAATCGTCTGTAAGGTAAAGCAGAGGAGTTGGCGTACCTGATGAGGTTCTGCTGGATTAGCTGGGCACCCAGCTGTGGGCCGAGCCCTGCGTGGTGGTCGGCCCCGTGTAGCCTTGGCCTCCGGGCAGGATGGGGTCAAAGTTGAAATCCATGCCATCTCCGTCCATGAGGTCGCTGTTGATGATGTAATCCACGTCGCAGTCCAGGTTCTCGGTGAACATGTCTATGTCCAGGTCCGTGGGCAGTCGCTCCTGACCGGGCTGGAACCCTGTCGGAGCGCCAAACGGACCAACCGCCGGCATGCTCAGGCTCTGACTGGCTGCTGGGGCCGGAGAGGGGCCGGTGTGATGAGCACTGATGGTTTGCGCTTGGTGGGTTTTGAGAGCAGAGAGGGGAGTCGGGTCCTGGGAGAGTCCGGACAGGATCATCCCCAGTCCGATTTGATGCTGCTGGTGGTTGTGGCGGAAATGCTGCTGTGGCGGTGGCGGCTGCATCTGGGTCTGCATCGCCATCGGCGTCACAGCGTTCGCCTCCAGCGCTTTGTTCAGCTGCAGCTGAGCGGGTTTGGCTCGCACACCCAAACCCATCTGACCCAGACCTCCAGAGTTTGCCATGAGTGGGCCGACCTGGGCCATCAGTACGTCACTGGGCGGAGGGGAGTCAGAGGTCAGCAGCACCTCCAGGCTGGAGGGAACATGGCCACCGTAGTGGCTGCCGCCATGAGCGCTGGAGCTGCTCATCGGGTTGAAGAGGGAGTTGCTGAAAGACGCTGGCGGCTCTTTGAGGGAGACGGCGGGCTGGGCGGCAGAGTGGAAGGAGGTGAAGCTGGAGCCGCGCGGCAGCAGGGTGGAAGCGGAGGGCAGCGGCGTGGGCGGAGCCGGAGGCGCCGTGCTGGGACTGGCCGCGCCCTGCTGCGCCGTCATCAGGGTGAGGTTGTCGATCAGGTCCAGCTCCTCCATGACGGTCTCGGTGAGCGTCGGGGTCAGGCTGCTGGAGGCGTAACGGCCCAGCAGGCCGTCGTCAGGCAGGCTGTCGTCGTCCTCCTGGCCTGGGGCGATGGGCGACAGGCGGCCGCTCAGGGTGCTGGCGTTGGAGCTGGTGCGTGGGCGGAAGGTGGTCCACATGTCAGAATCGTCCAGGCTGCCACGCGATGATGGGCTGCTGCTGTTCACGCCCCACTTGGGGAACTGCTGTGACGAGTTGGGGCTGTCAGCGCCGGCAGAACCGCCGCCGCCATCTCCCTGCAGCACGCCGCCGCCACCGGCCGCTCCGGCCTGCTTCTTGGTCTGCTTGGCTCGCATGCGGCTCTTCAGCAGCTTGCTGCTGTTGTCCATGGAGACGGCTCGGCGGCGGGGGGCTTTCCCCGTCTTCCCGCCCTCCGGGTTGAGCATCCACCAGGAGCTCTTCCCGGTGGACTCATTGTGAACCCTCAAGAACTTGTTGTGGAGTGATAAGTTGTGGCGGATTGAATTCTGAGAAGAATAAGAGCAAAATCAGAAAAACTGAACTTTACAAAAACAAAAAACTCTGTTACGTCTGAAAAAGGGCTGGACAACATGGCTGAAAACATATCACGATACTAGCATTTCATATCAGTCAACATCAATAATTATTGATCAGTTTTTTGTTTTAAATATATGAAATACTGCCAAACTATTGGCGTGACCTTTTCTGTTTTATCCGCAGTTTTCATTTTTAAGGAGTTATGGCACAGGGTGGCAAAACCTGAAACTGCTGCTGTGCCAGTTACTCAACTTATTGTTGCTAGGTAACCAAACAGTGAGTAAGTTGATTATTCTATATATTAATAAGAATATTCTATCAAAGTCCAAAAAATCACAAGCTATAGAAACACCCTGGGAAGTTCATTGGTGAAAAAAAGAATCCAGATTTTTCTGAAAATTTAATTTTCAAAAGCCAAAAATTTGATAAATCTATTTAGCTATGGAGCTGCACACAAGATACAGTTTGGGCATGTTACTTAAGGATTGTTGCTAGGTAACCAGCAGTTACTCAGAAGGTTGTTGCTAGGCAACCAAAGAATAAGCAGCCCAGTTGATTCCACTGTGAAAAAAAAGTTCAGAGTATATTCCATGTATTGAATATTCTATCAGATTATCTATCGATAACGATCACGTGACTATTGTGACGGATATCGTTATTGATTTATTATCCATCAATTAATTGTTAACTGGAGTATACAGAGTCAAGAAAGAACAATTTCTTAAAAAAAAAAAAAAAACAGAGCAGTAATTAAGCCAGATTTGTACAAAAATACTTTGCATTTAAAATAATAATAATAAAAAAATCTGTATATATGTTCTACCCAAAATTTCTGAAATTGCACTTGGTTCAAATTATGTAACAAAAATTATTAAAATCTCCTACTTATTAATCAATTAATGCAAAAAATATTCAACCTACACTGTATTGATGTTAAGTCGAGCAGAAAGGCTTAGTGTAGATGTATATTGTTAGGAGTATTTTTTATCTGCAGAGGCATCATTTGCTTCAAATGATAAAGCGTTAACTAAAGGAATGCTATGTTGCTGTATGTTAGGCACTAAATGTTTATTTTATTATTTTAAAAATGAAATGAATTATTTGACTTAATTTTCTTTCAAATATTGTACAAAAAGGCTTCAGTAAAAATATTTTTAACTCAGTAATTATCAGAATAATTGCTAACTGAAGTAACTTAGCTGCAGCTGTGCTCTGAATCTGGAACATTATGTGGGAAAAATCAGATCTGGACCTGGCAATCAGGTTCAAAATACCAGAAATCCAGCTAAATCTAATTTATTTTGTTAAATTTAAGTTCACAATGCATAAAAATTAAAATAAAGAACACAGATGGTCGCTCTGAAATCTTTGGAGGCGTTTTAGGAACACAGCGGCCTCCCTATCAGACGTAACAGCCGAGAGGTCATGGAGGTTTCCTGTTATGGCTGCAAAGATGCAGAATTAAATATTGTTCCGCTGCAGAACGGGCCAAGGTTTTAAAGCCTGCTTCATGACCCTGTTTGTTATCCAGATGCCAGAGAAACTGCCTGCCAGCTGGCTGAAAGATGTTTACTATGCTTTTCCACAGCATTCAAGAAACACAAATTCCGTCACTTAGCAACAGGAAGTCATTACTCTAAGTCCACACTTTTTTAAAACCAGAGGGCTATGAGTGGTGTGTCTGTAGACATACAGTCTAAGTTTGAGAACAAATAAACCAATTAGGTGATGTTCAATATTTTTGTTTTATTTATTTTTTTTCAATATAGGTTACAATTTTCTAGCCAATCACAGATATCCCAAAATTAAGGAGTCACTTTTTCCTAATTTCTGCATCTATTTTGGCCATCATGGCTTGCCATACAGAGCGGCAACAAATTAAAAGTGGAACAAAACAATCAGCTGTGCAAAGACCAACTTTTAAAAGCATACAACATGCAACTTCTTAAGCTTAAAAATTATTTTTATTTTTACACCTAGATGCAGTTTCTCACCTTCGCCAGTATAGTAAAGAGTGTAATAATATTAGATTTAATCAAGGAAATAAATCCTGTTTCTATGTTACAGGGAAACTAATGTGGCTTTCGAAGTTTAAATTCAGCTTCAATTAACTTGAACTTTGAAGTTTTTTATTATTATTATAATTTTGATCTTTAATTAGCACATTAGTGATGTTTTATGTCTTACGGCTCATAAGCCTGTAGCACAGTTCATTTTGTTGACGTAAAAAAAAAATCCACATTTTCCCAGCTTATTTCACTGAAAGATTTTCACTCTCTTACAGTGTCTGTGTTTTAAATCTTAAATCTGTACTATAATAATTTTTTTAAATTGTTAATGTAGTAACAGCTACTTAACTTTGTCAAATTCTGTCCTATTTATAGATTCCTGATGTTTACTTCGTTATTGTTGTCCATTTTTAGATATACAATGATTTGATCTTCCCTTTCCTATAAAAAATACATTCTCTACTCGTTTAATTAGAAAAAATGTATGTTTATTTTATTATTGAGTAGTGAAAAGAGAAATACAATGACTACTTTTCTGTAGTTTTAGAAATTCTTTTGCCACACAAGTAATTTTGACTTGACAATTTTGGCCTGCGTGACAAAATATTTTGAACACCACTGTTCTATATAGTTGTGTAGAGAATATAGTTTTGTATTTCTACTTTAAATATTTTCCCATATGCTCTTTTTCTAAGTACATACAGAATAATTAAAGTCAATACTTTTCTAGACTGCATAGGGACCCTGTACTTAATCATGGTGCCCTTCTTGTCTGAGGTGTTTCCCTGCTGCTATACACATGGCTTAAATGAATGGATGATTAAATGGGTGGATGATTAACAGGCTCCTGCTGCAGATGAATGCACGCTAAGGACGGAATGCAATAATTTGGATCAGTTGTTCAGGGTGGGAAACATCTATAACAATAATAATCTCATAAAATACAACCATAGATCTTTCCTAATCTTATCATGTAGTTTTGACTTTGTTTTGATTTGTTGTGCAAAAAAATTAATCAGTATGCGCAACAGGTTGTTTACTTTTGCTCGGGCTCACCTTCCAGCCGGCAGAGCTGTTGCTGTCTCCTTTATCTCTGAAGTAAGGCACAGTTTTCACCATCCAGTCATAGATCTGAGCCAGGGTCAGCCTCTTTTCTGGGGAGTTCTCGATGGCCTGGCTTATCAGATCCGCGTAGCTCTGGTTCCCCCACGCGTTGCGGCGGGAGGATCCTTTGCGGGGCGTCGCTCCGGCTCCGCCCACGCCGGCCACAACCCCGCCCTCCTCCGCCGCCGCCGCGGCGGCAGCAGCTTTCTCGGGCTCGGAGATGATTTGCTGCGGTTCGGGCTTGTCCTCGTCGGCTGCGGGCGGGGTCCCGGCGGCGGACTCGGCGCCATCCGCCCCTTCTACTTTGACAGCCGAGATGTCGGGCCTCGGGAGCGGCCATGTGCAGGAGCGGGGTCTGCTCTGCGGCTCAAAATCGGGATCGATGGGGGGCATTGAAGACTCCTCCATGCTGGTTCTCTAAACTTCCTCTGACAAAGTTCTGTTCTCCTAAAACATTTACCTTTTTTATCTTTAAATGTAAATTAAAAAGTTTCCGACAAAAATAATATATATATATATATTTATATATACCTCAGTCACAACAGGGGGGCTTCAACTAAGGGGCCTAGAAAGGAGACGCAATAATCTGGACACACCAATGGCCTCTGTTAATCCTCAGATTGGAGATTAGGGAACCCAAATAATCTCCTTAATAGTAACTATCATAAACCTTCCGATTTATATATAGAGAAGAAGTCTCTTTGTTTCAATGAAACACAAACAACAGTGAAGGAGTGTCAATGAGCACCAAAACATCTGGATCTACAGAGGTTTCGGCTCATATTAAAAAAATAAGTTCGTTGAGTATAAAAAGTTTTTTTTTTAAATCACCAAAGTAATATTTTAGAAATGAGTGAAAATATTTTTCTGTACCAAATTTCCAGATTTTTTCTTACTTTTCCGTCAAAAATATTTTTTGTTTGAAAAGCACGTTTGCAAATAAAAACGAATAAACAAAAAGGAGCAAGAATATAAGATTCAGCAGTCACTAACCAGCGCGGCTCAATTAGAGTTAATAGTAAAAATGTCCAAGGAGCGACTTTGTGCAAACAATCCTGAGACTTTGTCCACTGCGTCTGTGTGCCGTCTGGGATTTAAACATCCAAACTTGGGTCTAAAATAGACTAAAGGGGAGGGGAATGTGCTTTAGTCTAACCTTAATAAAGTTTATTGTAGTAAAAAAAATAAAAATAAAACTGTTTAAAAAAATAAAAATAAAATAAAAAAGTAGTCCTGAAGTCCGTGCCTTAGGTCCGTTCCATACGCCACATTGCGGCCAGGCGCATGTCACCAACTGCCATGTTTCTCCCACAGTCTTGCCGCCTCACACGGCGTTCAAACACTTCACACACCGCCCCGCTCCAAACTAAACTCCAGTCTGATGGTCGCCTTCGTGGACTCGGTGAAGGAATCCCACAGTTTGTTCCAGGGAACTCAGCGGGTCTGTCGGCTCCAAGTCGCCGCCGCACTTTCCAAACAGCACGATAGCCACCGTAACGCTAGCTGCTTAAGCTCCTGCTACTCCAGAGTTTACAATCCGTGAAAAAGTCCGCGAAAAACCTCAGATAGGCTCCACCGAGCAGCCGTTTCAGATCCGAGACGAGTTTTGAGAAACTTTCTGTCGTCGTAGCGATCCAAATATCCGCTTCTTCACTCTCTTTTTGACTTATTTTGCTTTGTTTTGTTTTGACTCGAGACGAAGACTCCCTTTCTGACGTCTGTTTACCACTGTTAGGCAACGCGATCTGCGCCTGCGCCCTACGGAACTCTGGGAAACGGAGTCCCCCCATGTGTCAGACATCGCTGGCATAAACAGCAGCTCCAAGAGGCGACATGTACCTGTATTATGTAACTGTTTATGAAAGACTGCTGAGTACACTTTGTCCGTTTAAGATGATTACTGGCAATTAAACAGTTCAGAGCGGTAATTGCTCAGAGAGCTCTAGACAGTACCGGTTTATATTTACGAATTATTGTGATTTATGTCATATGACTACATATATTTTATATTCTTGCTCCTTTTTGTTTATTTGTCATATAGTCTATATGTAGTTAGACTATTAAGACTGCCATAAAATAGGACAAATAAAATTACATATATAAAATAGGGGAATAAAGAGTGAACAGAAACAACTATTAAATTAACTACAAAAAATAGTCATAAATGAAAAATGAATATGTTAAAAAATTTATATTTTAAAGTATCTTTATATATATAACAAAAAGTTTTCAGGAAATATCAAGGCAATATTTGTTGTTGTTGCTTAGGGTCTAAATACAGAATACAATAATCATCATAATGGCATTGACTTTATTATGATTCTTGTTATTTCCCATAAATATTTTTAAGAATGACTGCCATTACATTACATTTATTAAAATTATGCTAAAGGGCTGCAAAGTGTGGCAGTATTCTGTAGGGGACTTCCTGTGTAGATGTGCATGGTCTATATATGCATGTTAGTATTCTCCAGGTAATGTGGGTACTTTTAACAGTAATGCACAGTAACAGTAACTTTTAACTGTTCTCAAAAAGTCACTGCTGGAAATATTTTCCAATATGCCACTTTTTAAATTAAAAAAATGAAGCTGGAATAACAGATTGGTGACGGTAGAACATTATTTTTCCATGAATTGTTTGGCTTTATTTGTTTAATGTCTTTATTTTGTCATTTATTGCTGTTTTAAATTGCCTGTTATGTAACTGAAATACTATAGGTTTTGCAAATTAGATTGTACTCTAAATGCTGCACATTACTTCTTAATGCTTTTCTTTATGCAGCAAATCAATAAAATCCACATGCTGGATTTGAAAAAGGGATAATGGCTTATTAATTTTAATCCAGCACACACCCCAGCAGAATGGTACATCCACTCTTGATTTTAAGCACCAGCTAAACCTTTGACTGCACTTCCTTTAATCTCTGAGCCACTTCTGATTGATGGATAAATCCATGAAAAGATAAGTAAGTTGTCATAGTTAGTCTTCAATTATCATCTATCTTAATTTTTTTGTTATTTGAGCCTTCATAATACTGAAAAATATTCCACTATTGTATACTAGGAAGTGACAACTGTAGTTTATCTGCATGTTAATCTAACAGTACATGTTTGTGGTTTAACCTCTGAGTAGTTTTTTGTGTTGTAATCCTGATTCATCTTGCATACCAGTGACTCTTTCTGTCCATTGAGATGAACAGTAACACGCCCCACCGAAACTGCTCTTAATCTCCGTCTTTAATGTTTGTTTTTAAAACTGCGCCGCTCCTCGTTAGCTGAGTCATGCTTGAGACGGCGCTGCTGAAAGGTTTCCTGTTTGGGACGGTCCAGTGGCTCCAGGTGTCTGACTGCCAGGTGCAGACCCACTCTGCCTGTTCCTGGCACACTAACCTGAAAGCTCTAGTGGTGATGTAAAGGAAACCAACCATCAGTTTGAGTTTTAATTTTATTATCAGTGAAATTTCTCTATTGGATCCAGTATCATTATGGATTAAAGATTCTCTAAATAAGGATTTTGGGATCCAGATATCTGGGATCCCAATCCAGAAAGCTTTACTCAAAGATGTTGGTTTGTAACTAGTTATATTTATTCTACTTTACATTGCATAACATTTTGTAAAATATGTACTTCTAGATGTATCTTTTGGTCTTACTTGAATGAAATTTCTGGATAATTCTACCCAACAATCAAACTTGTTTTACCCAAAAATTCACCAGACACAGACACACACCTGCATTTTTCATTAAAGTTTAATAAGTTTTACGTTGAAAGAAACTGATTTGGAAACTGTTTTCTTTTGCCTGATTTTGATATTTATAATAATTATTTTTATTTTGGTCTTTAGATTCAGTGCAGTACAGCCTGCTGCAGAAGATCTTTCCTGCCAACAGGCATCTTGATCTTCAATAACTCTTTGAAGAATCTAAATTAATGAGTTACAACAACATTTAATTCCTCTGTGGGATTAAAAAAGTGTTTTTAAATTTCAATTTAAAATACCAAACTTTTCATATAATTTTATATTCTAGTATGTCTGATTATGTAATTTTTAAATATTAAATTATTGATGTTTGATCAGTTCAATATTTGACTCACCTTTTTCCAAACGCTTTTTTACTCTACTTGAGTAATTTCTAGGGTAATTATATTTTAGATTTACTTGAGTAAAATATGTTGAAGAAGTGCTACTCTTACTTGAGTACAATTTCTGGGTGCTCTGCCCATCTTTGGTCAAACATATTAGCTGTCTAAATGTTGAATAGGCGAAAAAGTCGAAAAGGTCAGAATTCTGATTTTAATCTCAGAATTAAAACTTTTTTCTCAGAAATATGACTTTTTTCAAAAAGTAATGCTAACTTTAATCAGAATCTCAGAGATCCACTGACATCAAACATCTGAATGTTTAATCCCACATTTCTGAGATTAAAGTCAAAATTATTTTTTTAACAGTGTGCTTAATCCTCTTCCCGTAAAATGCAGTTTAAGGGTCAGAGCGAAGCTTTGCTATTGTAGACTTCAATCCCCAGAAGCCTTTGCTAACATCCGGTGTCTTCCCGTCCATTAGCATCCAAGAAACCCGAACCAACCTAACGATATCCATCTGCAGTCCTTCGAAAACATACATCGTAAAACTACTTCATGTCGATCCTTCATTTTAACTGAATGAAAGATTTTATCCGATTCATCAGATGCAGGTGAGGCCAAAGGCCCAGAAACATCGTCATTTCTCAGGTTTTGGTTAGCCAGCGATAGCATCAGTAACAGCTAAGCTAACAGAGAAGCTAAAGCTACCGTTAGCATAGACCTGAAGTCGAGATTTGTCAGGACAGGACACAATGCTTATTGGTATGCTCTGACAAAATTCGCTTTCTTGCACCTAGAAATCTATAAATATTAATTCCGTTTAAGTAATTAAGTAGCTATGGTGGTTTACTGTTGCTAAAAACGAAATTTTAGCTTACGAGCTAGTTTTATTGCATGTTAACTGCTGGAATCTGTCAGAAGCAGCTGAGCTGCGCGAATGTGTTTCTTTATAACTTTATTTCGCTTTGCTGCATCAGCTGTTTGATTAATAGATTACATTTGACTGGCAGTGCAGTGAAGTTGTCTGTAGTGTTAGCAACATGCCAGCTCAGCGGGTCGCAGTGTGAGTGCGGTGCAGTTTTGGTGCCAGGCTGTGGGATGCAGCCTCACAGTGTTGGTGTTGTTTGTGCCAGGGCTCTGGCCCCGTCTCCAGCAGCTGAAGCGCACCCGTCCTGTCCTCTCTGCTCCACGGCCTTCCTCCTGTCTGAGCCATGACCACCCAGATGGATAATGATTTGGTGAGTGAAGCTCTTGTCACCTGAACAATAACAACAGTGGGCAAAAAGATGCTTTAATCAGCCATGATTGTGTGTGATTGCCATGTCGCTTCAAGCAGAAGTTGGGATAATTTAAGTGTTTGGGGGTTTTGGTGGGACGTGGAAGGGGGGTTGTGGATTAGCCAACTTCCACAAACACTTATCTGGGATCGTGACGGCTGTTCCCGTGAACACCATCTGTCTAATCTCGGTTAAACGCTGGCCTACTTTCCTTTCAAGGTTTAGATACCAATTGATTGTACCCTCTTTGTGTGCTGCCCCCAATTTCAACCAAAATATTTGTCACATGTATTTGGGAAACCAAAGTTAAGTCATATTATTTAGCCAAGCAATACTGGAATTTGGAATATAAATGTCTTTATATTGTATCTTTTCAAATGACTAAACCAGAACATTTCTGGTTTTTATTTTAATTCCTACCTGCTGATTTGACTTTGGCTAAATCTGATGTATTGTTTTTTGTTTTTCCAAAGGCTAACACATAAATTTTAACATTCTGCATGTTCTTTTGTAGAAATGGTTTTAAATCCAACATAAAATGCATTGTAAATATATATGTCCCATTTGATTTTTACTCAAAAACTGGCCTCGCAGATTTTACTGGATGATAAATTTTCCCAGAATTAATTTTGATAAACAATAATATTTTGAGACCATTTCCAA